TGCTCCTCTTACTTTCCTTTGCTGAGTTCCTTTTGTTTGTGAATTTTCTTTGCATTTCTTTTATTATTATAAGTTTTGTGTTTACTTACTGAGTCTTTGTGATTTTCTTTTATTTTGACAAGTAGGTTTGTTAACTTTCTTTGTGGTTACCTTGAAATTTATCCTTATCTCCCTAAGTTTGAGCCAGTCTTTTGTTTATTGATATCACCTTGAATTCCTCTCCTTTGAAAGTTCTTTTAGTACAACCATGTATTCCCCTTTTTATTGTTTTGATGTTGTCATCATTTACAGATGGATATCTCAGGTTCCCTATTAAGTCTTTTAGCTTTGTTTTGCCTTTGAGAATTCTTTATCTGGGTTGGTATCTGGGTGGTCTGCCCTGTGTCCGAATCTCCGATTGTTGTCTCATGTTGTTGGTTCTCCATCCGAAGGACTCCCTTTAATATTTCTTATAAGTTAGCTTTGGTTTTTACAAATTCCTTTAATTTTTGTTTGTCTGGAAATGCCTAATTTTGCTATTCTATTTGAGAGACAATTTTGCTGTATATGTAATTCTTGGCTGGCAATTTTTTTCTTTCAAGGTTTTATATATGTCATCCCATTGCCTTTTTGCCTGCATGGTTTCTGCCAAGTAATCAGAGCTTAGTCTTATTGGTTCCCTTTTGTAGCTGACTTTTCATTTTTCCCTAGCTTCTCTCAGGACTCTTTCTTTGTTTTTGGTTTTTGTAAGTTTTGTTATGATATGTCTTGGTGACTTTCTTTTGTGGTCTGTCCTGTGTGGGGTTCATTGAGTGTCTTGGATGGATATCTTCTTTCATGATGTTGGGGAAGTTTTCTGCCAACATTTCTTTGACAATTCTGTGTTTTCCATTGCCTCTCCTCCTCCCCCCCATTCTAGATCTCTGATCCACATTTACATTTTTCTTCTTGATAGTGTCCCACATAATTCTTAGGCTTTCTTTATTCTTTTTTCTGATTTTTCCTCAAACAAGTTAGTGTCAAGGGATTTGTCTTCAATTTCGCTAATTCTGTCTTCCATGGTTTCAGTATTGCTCCTGTGACCTTCTATTGAGGTATCTATTTCTGAGATTTTATTGTTAATCTTTTGGATTTCTAGTTGTTGTTTTTGTATGGTTTCTAGTAGTGTTATTTATTTTGTCAGTTTGTTGTATTGTTTTCCTGAATTCTCCTATTGCTTGGTGTGTGCTTTCCTTGATTTTATCTGTGTTTTCCTTGGTTTTGTCTATTTTCCTTGATCTCTTTCTTAATCTCTTGCAGAGCCTTGTATGTTAGTCTTTTGAGTTCTTTATCAGATGGTTCCATTGTTGTTTATTCCTCTGGGAGATTTCTGGTTCTTTATTTTGGTCACTTGCTGGTACCACCTTGGCCTCCTTCCTTATGTGATTTGATATTGTCTGTTGTTTCTGAGGCATCGAAAAGTTATTTATTTATTTATTGTGTATTTGTTTGCTTCATCCTGAATTTTTGTTTTGTTTTGTTTTAATCTGTCTGAGTAGGCTGGGTGTGTGTGCTGCTCTGGTCGGTAATCTGGTCATTTTGAAGCTCTCACCTCCTGTCTCCGGGTGGGTGGAGCAGTGACTGGGTCTGTGTCTTAGTCATAGTGCTTCTCTAACAGAAATACCCCAAGTGATGGCTTTAACAAAGAGAAGTTTATTCTTTCACAGTCCAGTAGGCTACAAGCCCAAATTCAGGGCATCAGCTCCAGGAGACGGCTTTCTTTCTCTGTCGGCTCTGGAGAAAGGTCCTTGTAATGCATCAGTCTTTCCTTGGTCTGGGAGCTTCTCTGCGCAGGAACCTCAGGTCCAAAGGACGCGCTCTTCTCCTGGCACTGCTTTCTTGGTGGTATGAGGTTCCCATGTGTCTCTGCTTGCTTTCCTCTTTTATATCTCAGAAGAGATTGGATTAAGACACTGTCTAGTCTTGTAAACCTCATCAGCATAAACTCATCACAGTGATAGAATTTACAACACATAAGGAGATCATATCAGATGATACAATCATACAATACTGGGAATCATGACCTAGCCAAGTTGCTGCACACACTTTTTGGGGAGCACAGTATAATCCATGCCAGTCTGTAAGCACGATTCTCTTTTTGTTGGCCTTGTGGGGCTGCTGAGGATGTAAGTGGCGTTGCTGGTGAGGTGGTGTATTTGTCTGGCTGGTCACTGGCTGTGGGTCCAGGGAGCGTTCTTCCTGGTCACTGGGTTGGGTGTTGTGTATGCGTTCTGGTGGTTGGGGGTGAGCATGCCTGGGTTGTTGGTCAACAGGTGGGTGGTGTGGAAACTCACTCGTGGCCCTGGGTGAGCAAGGGTGTTCAGAGTGGGCATAAGCCTCCAGTTGTAGGGTAGGGTGATGTGAGAGCTTAAGCAGGGGGGATTTCGTCTGTCTATGGGAGCTGGGTTGTTGGGCATGTTCCTGTCCACTAGAACACTTCATAGGGGAGATTGTGCAGCTGGGCCTCCAGCCTCCAGTGCAGGTGGCTGTAGAGAGTAGACAACACTGCCGATCCTTAGGTTCCTGGCACAGGTGGCTGGCTCTGGCCATGAGTGCAGAGTCACTCCTGCTTGGCTGCACCAGGTGATCGGGTTTTGGCTGGGAATGCTGCTTGCTTTGTCTCAGCATGGCTGCACCGTGCAGGCTCAGCTAGCAGGACGCTGATGATCTGAAATTCTGTTTCCACTGTTTTTGTATCCTCTCTCCTTCCTCTTGTTGCTGACTCCAATTCTTTAGTCTTGTCTTTGATGCTTAGGTTCCTAAGTTTTCATCTACATCTGATTCACTTGTTTTTTCAGGCCTTTGTTGTAAGAGGGACGTTATGAAGTGTCTGACTACCCTGCCATCTTGGACTGCCTCTTCAGTTTTCTTAAAATAAATTCTAGAAAATTCTCAGCCATGTGTCTTTGAATATTTCCCTTTCTCCCTTTGTAGGACAGTCCTTCCTTGCTCCCCCAAGCTCACTTTTTCACTCAGGTGTCATCTTTCAATGTTCTTGCATTATGTAGGGGCTTCCAATCTACTCTTTTCACTGTTAATACTCTTTGGTTTATTTAGATAAAATTAAACATATCCTATTATATTTATCTTTCTTTTATATTACATATATATTTTTTAGGGTATACATTTTTATGTACTCTACTGAATTATAATACAAACTCATGGACTTTGACAGAATCAGTTTGCTTCAGTTAATTATAAGTTGAACATAATAACTCTTCTATCGTGCCCCCATCATTTTTCCCTCTCCCTCCTTTTCCTTTGCTCAAATTGTTATAACTTGGCAAGTGAGAGCCTCCTGATTTCTTACTAAAGATGTCTCTGATACTGTTCCTCTTTGTTAAAAGCAGGATTTCTGACACCCATTCTGACTTTTCCTGTTCTAGGACATGGAATTAGCCTGCCTTTATGGAGTGCTGGTTCCTTTTAATGAAGAATGGTATCAGAGATGAAACTAGGGGTGCTTTTGTACACACGAGCATTGGTGATTTTCAGAGATGCTGTTGCTTCCGGTTGGACCACTTTTAGGGAATGAGCTGAAAAAGATATTTCCTTTGAAGTAATGAGGTCATGCTTATCTTTCTAATTTTAACACATGTGGGAGGCAGTGTGGTTCAGGGTAGAATTCTTGCCTTTCCTGTGTGAGATCAGGTTTGATTCCTGGCCACTGCACCTTATACACATTCATCACCCATATGTCAGTAGAGGCTTGCGTGTTGCTGTGATACTGAACAGGTTTCAGTGGAGCTTCCAGACTAAGACTAAGAAGAAAGGCCTGGTTATCTACTTACGAAAATCAGCCAGTAAAAACCTACAGATTACAACCGTCTGATCCATAACCGATGATGGGGATGGTGCAGGACTGGGCAGTGTTTCATTCCATTCGTGCACGGGGTCACCATAAGCTGGTGACTGACTCAGCAGCAGCTGACAACAAGGTATACCTGTTAGTTGATTTTCTCAGCCCTTATTAAATAAAACTTTCATACACTGACTAGGAAGAATCTTTAAAACCATACTCAGATCACCAGAATAAAGCATTCCGCTATTTAGTAAACTGTTTTGTTCTACTATGTTTAAGGTAAGCAAATTATACCTCTTAAAGTTTAATTAGTTTATTTTAAGAGAGATAATAAAAAGAATGTTGGATTTAGAGACAGAAGACTTAAATTCTAGTCCTAGCTTAATCACATAGGTAAATGACATTAGGCAAGTAACTTCAGGTCTCAAAAATTTTCTTGCCGTATGGTTAATAGATGTGAAAATACTTAAGGTGCCATATAAACGTAAAGAAATATTTATTACAGTGATAAACTAGGTAATGTACCATTTGCTTTATTCAGTATTATGTGTCGATGGTTGTTGACTTCCCAGTTTGATTTGAACCATCTTAAAAGTAATTCTTAAGATTTTTACTAATTCTGTAAATTTGCACAAGATGCTCATTTTTAGATATGTATACCATCTGTTATTATTGTTAGCTGCCGTCAAGTCTGTTCTGATTCAAGGCACCCTCGTGTGTGGAGTAGAACTGCTCCATAGAGTTTTTAAGACTGTGACGTTTCAAAAAGCAGATTGCCAGGCCTGTCTTCTGGAGTACCTCTGGGTGGGTTCAGACCACCAACCTTTCGACCAGTAGTCGAGTACTTAACGATTTGTTCCACCCAGGGACTCCTATGCCATTTATAAGGTGACATGATATTGTTAAAATTCCTCTTGGTATTTCGTGAGCCCTATTCATTGTGCCTTTAAGTGGAATATGAGGTATACTTGCTTTATAAAACACTTCTCAGTAATAACTAGTATTATAGTGAGGCTTTACTGGGCTGATTTCTCATTGAAAATGAGAACCAGTGCTCTTACTTAAAAATTTGCAAAATTTTAAAGATACTACCTGAAGCATACTGTAGCTTTTTTTATTTTAGTACCAGGTAGTTATTTACATATAGCTGTTGATCATATTGTTTTTACTTGTGTTTTAGGTGGTCTTGGAGGCATTGGAATGGGACTTGGTCCAGGTGGACAGCCTATTAGTGCCAGTCAGTTGAACATAGGTGGTGTAATGGGAAATATAGGTCCGAGTGGTGAGTATTCTAACTTTCTTCTTTTTAAATGGTACATTTGCTAGACAATAAAGCTTGTATTTACTGGTCTGTAATACTTCTTTAAAAATCCACCCATTGCTGTTGAGTTGATTCCGACTCATAGCGACCCTGTAGAACAGTATGTTGCCCTGTAGGAATTCCAAGGCTGTAATGTTCACAGAAGGAGACTGCTGCATCTTTTTCCTGCAGAGCATCTGGTGGGTTCTAACTGGGGACCTTCTGGTTAGCAGCCAAGGGCTTAACCACTGCGCCACCAAAAACCCCTTGCTGTCGAGTGGATTCTGACTCATAGCAACGCTGTAGCACAGAGTAGAGCTGCCCCATAGGGTTTCCAAGCAGTGGCTGGTGGATTTGAAATGCCAGTCTTGGTTGGCAGCTGTAGCTTTCAACCACTGCGCCACCAGGGCTCCATACTTTTTAAAAGATTATTTCATAGTTAGAGATTTAGGATGCTAGTTGAATCTGAAAAAAGAATGAGTAGCTCACATGAAAGAGTGTGGATGAAGGTCATGCCATGTTGTAGATATTTTTTTAGCACTGTAGATTTTGAAGTACCTTTAAGGCAAAGGCAGAGTGCTCAACACAGTGCCTTGTCCATCACAGATGAACACTGTTTATGAGATGACTGAAATGCTGCTGTGTCATAAGCAGTTGAAGTTTGTATATCTAGTTAACTGAGAAAAACCAAACCCGTTGCCATCGAGTCGATTCTGACTCATAGTGACCCTGAAGGACAGAGTAGAACTGCCCCATAGAGTTTCCAAGGAGCGCCTGGTAGATTCGAACTGCTGATCTTTTAGTTAGCAGATGTCGCTCTTAACCCCACTATGCCACCAAGGTTTCTGTATATCTGGTTAGAGAGCTAGATTTAAGGTAGCCATTGGACTGCTCACCTGGATTAATTTAGAGTTTATCTTTGATTTTCAAACCTTTTGCTCTCAGTACACTTTTATACTTTTAAAAATT